GGTTGGCAGTCCCCACAATGCTGGCTGGCGCTGAGAGCCGTTTCATGCTCCTATCTCACCAGCTGACAGCAAGTCTTACAAGGAGGCAGGCAGGCTGGAGCTGGCTGACTGTGGAAACGAGACAGGGCAAGGCTGAGCATAAGGAAATTGAAATACTCTGATGGAAGTCGAGTGTGAACAATGATGTCACTGTAGGTGTACATAGACATTTGTTCTCTGCGTTGGCTGTGTAGCATGTGTGTTTTGGAGCATTTTATACAAACATATATGTAAGCATGTGTATGTGTTCCATTAGCCTTGTTAATTGGTTCATATCTGGAGATAATTTGTCACAAAGTTAAGAAAAATAATGGACAGTGTCTCTTTCTTCCTTAGACTTTCCACAACTTTTGCTTTACTTTAAAGGGATAATTCAAATATGAACTCTGAAAAAAGGGCTATGAACAGTTTATATATTCTCTGTTGCAGATTGTTTTTTGAACCTCTGTTCAAAAAAAGTTTAATGTTCACTAGATTGACAAACTAACTGCTAATCTGAGTAGAACCACAATTAAAGTGGTTTAATGCCACTTGAGGAATCTCCAGTTTTAAAAAAAGAAAACAAATTTATGCAAAWAGTATTTAATAAACCTCCACAATGCCATCTGTTTTTTCCATGTGGTTATAGAATGCTTTAAGATTGTGTAAGTGTAAAATGTGGAAGCTGTAGCATTTCTACATTATCGTTGGCAAGAGCACGATTCTTTTGATATATATAGTAAGAGTGTGATTGATTAACTAAATTTCAGATACACACTTGATTTATTGATTGCAAACATTTACTTTAAACAATTAGAGAATGAACAAGTCTCTGCGTAGTTGTAGTTTTAGTGTTTGTTTCTAGAACTTACTTTGTTTTTTACTATGACATCATACCCAGGTGTGACTTGACTCTGGTGTAATGCTGTGTTCCAGGTGTAGTGGAACTCGGARTTCTGAAGCCAAGACTGACATCAGTTCTGAGTTGAAAGCGTTGCAGTTTCAAACTTGTCAGAACATCAGAAAAAGTGTTTCCATTTTTTTTGCTCTTCAACAATAACACAACAATAGTGCTCTATGAGGCATTCATAGTGTACAAACAGCATAAAAACATATCTCCTAGTAATCACTAAATAGTACTACAAGTATGGCAGACTTAATGTAAAGTAAACAATACAGAACTGCTAAAAAAATATAAAGGAAAAGAGTTTAAATCGCAGTCATGTTGAAATATGATGTAACATGCGCTCAGGCTGCTCGGGTATGGTTGTGTTGTGCCAACCTCTTGACTCGAAATTACAATATCAGTGGGCATTCCAGTTGAAAATTACAACTCGGAAGTGTGAAACTACAAATTCCGAGGACAACTGAAATGCAGCATAAACCTGTGGGTAACATGTTGTTTGGCACCATTTTTTTCCCATGGTCCCCAAAACGAGGGGATATGGACCAGATTGAAGTTATGTGTGGTAAACTTTGCATGTCGGTAAATAAATATTCCAGTCTGAGATTTAAATCTATCTCCTGCGTATAACTTGGCGTTGTATTTGAGCACGATCTTTCAGCATCACAATGGCAATATTACTAAAATAAATAAACATACCAAAACAATGTGTTATGTGCTTCCCAGTATAACCAGTGTGTATACTGAAAAACTGCCAAAAGAAAATAAAAATGTCTATGAGCAGATGTTATCAGTTGGTTTTCATACCTAAAATGACTGGATAGCACAGTCTAGCCCCACTCACTTCGACATGACACAGTGTCTATGTAAATAATACTATACGAATATACCACTGAGATTCTGCAGATATTGTTTATAAAGTATATGTGTTTTATACGTATATAACACTACATACACTTTTTAAACAATCTCAGTGAAATTCCAAAATGTTTTGTATCTGTAGAAGTAAGTAAAGCTCTGAAATCGTGTCTTGAAATCCTGATACAGAGCACGGTTGTGTCTTTGAATTTTATCAGTGGGATTTCTTCCTTATCAAGAACACATGCTGGCTGCCATAGCCAACTGTTGGCTCAGAAAGTGGACGTTGTCCAAGCCAAAATCACCCACAACCATGGTTCCTCAGAACATTTCCCAAAGCACCTTGCTTATCTCCTACAGATCACCACCCAGGCATACTAGTCTTCCTTCTGCCACCCAGTTTTATCTGTCTGGGAAAACAAGCAAGACAGAGGGCATGTTTTGGCATGCAAGATGTAAAATTTTGATTAATTCCTTCAGTCTCTGTGAAATGAATCATTTAGGGTGAAGAGTAAACTCTCTGTTACTGTCAAAACATCCCATTGCCATGTACTTCTCTACCTTTTCTTTGGAAATTAGTTGGACTGTGACAAAAAGGTAGAGTGAGTATATTTTGTACTAAGCACCACAGTTGTCTCCTCTTTGCTCGAGTTTAATATCAGACTCTATGATTTCTGTGTACCCACAAGGCACAGTGCCATCAAAACAGAGCAGAAACTTATTGTGTAATCTGCCAGAGTTATCTGTCAGTGTTATGACACTGAGGACTGGCACAAAAGACTGTACCTTTTGTGCTTCTGTACTGCATAGAGGTCTGCTATGTCACTTAGTTTAATATAGACCCAACATAAGTTGAAACTTTTTCTTTTTGTTACACTTTATTATGTACTCTATATTTGCATACACTGTTGATTTTGGTGCAAATATTAAACACATTTCAGTGAAACTCATCTGCTCCACCATTATCAGCATTCTCACGTGCGTATTATGTGTCTTTTAAATGTAAATGTAATACAAAGAGTAAGAACATTTATGTTTGGACAATTAATTATTGTTTGTAACACTGCACCTTGGCAGTAAATCTTTTACTGTTGGAACATCATTTTTCCCCTTAAATGGTGCCAACTTTGATAGAAAAATGCATTTGTGGATTGAGCAACATAGCTGAAAATGTGGGTTTATTCTGCTATTGACTCTGATTTTGAGCTTCTGGTGTCCCAGATGCCGACAATCAGGTGCCTGATTGGCCCTTAATGTCAGCATCCTTGGGCAACCTATAGCAATATTATATATCCACAGTTTGTGACCAAACTCTTCTAAGGCTTGAGTCACACTACAAGAAAATCAGGCCGATTTTTGCCCTTCTGACAATCTCAAGGAAGTCTAGAGTATCGTGATGCCTCTAAAGATAATCATAGCAGATATTCCCACCGTGGGCGGTGAGTTAAGAGTGATCTAGTCAGCTCAGAAGGACGTCGGGACCGCTCCGACCTCAAATTGGGGATATTCAACATGTTTTATTTTTTGGCCCAACATCACAGTGAGTGTAGTGTTCACCCAAGCTCTCAGCCTGTTGAATGAGACGTGTAGCCGATCAGAAAGCGAGGTAACGTAAACACGGAGGGGAATCCAAATGCAGAAGACAAAAAAAAACCAGTCATGACTCACCAGAAAGTCTGCTGGATGTTAAAAGTCCTATGGAATTGTTTTTTCCTCTGGTAAAAATAGTCCACAAACGATCAACATTGTTTCTTCCTTGTTGCAAATATTTATTTAACTCTGAAATCACGKCTCTGGAGGTCACGTGAGATTTTTCCTCGGACATATGAATTCTCACGAGATTTCAGGGAGTCTTGCGTGATTTAAAATCTGATATCTGAATGTTCATTAATGAAATATMTTTTCGTGTGTGGTGTGTTGTCTCCTGCTGTGTGGCTGTACACCACACACTGTARGACCAAACCTGGTAGATCCATGATTTTTTATCCTCACGTGTGGGCTCTCTCAGTCTTTGAAAATTGGCCGACTGTTTTAAAATCTTGTAGYGTGACTCAGGCCTAAGAGGACAGTGTTTACCCCCACAGAGTGGGCTTTATCTGAAACCAAAATTTGGGAGTGACAATGATTGAATGGGCTGCCTGTGGTCCTGACCTCAACCTTATTGAAAACTTGCGGGGTCATCTTGGGTGTGCTGTTTGTTCCAGAGTGACCCATACAAGTGCATTGACTGACTTGCAACAAATGCTAGTTTAGGCTAGAATGCCATGCCACAGCAGTGTGACCAAGCTGATGAGCAGCATGAGTTGGAGAGGCCAGACTGTTGTGGCTGTGTATGGTTCTTCCACATGYTATAGAGGTCCTTGTTTGTTAAATGGATCAATTGTTAAATTGCCAWTATGTTTTGGTTTTTCAGAATTCAGTCATCTAATTCAAGAAACAACACCAAACAAAAATCAAACGCAGAATGAACTATTTGGCATTGGCAGAGATTTGACTATTTTTTTTCACAAGTGTAACCCACATATAAACTCTGTTGCTCAATCCACATTTTCCTAACAAATGTGGCACTGTTTAAGAGAAAATAAACAGGCTTTCCAACAGTATAAGATTTTTTGCCAAGAGGCATTGTTACAACAAAAAMGATCAACAAAACACACATTTTCCTATTTTTTTGTGCTAAGTATGTATACTTTTTATAAGTCAGAGCCATGGGAGGAGCTGAGACTGAACCTTCGGAGAATTTCCACACTAAGACTGAACCAGCTTCCTCTCTATTTTTGAAGCTATTTTCTCCTATGCACTTCRTGCAAAATCATCCATGGCTTCTCATACAAATGAAGAAAAACACAAAAAGAAATCGCACTTTTAGTTCTAAAAGTGATTGCGAAAARATGCATACTTGTGCCCACAAACAATGCCGGTATGTGCATATTGTAGTCATGTTCACAGAGAGATCACAGCACAAAGCTCAGCAGTTAACAGCTTGACAGAGGCTCTCAGGCATTTCTTCCAGCAAAGTGCCAAGGATTTGTTTCCATGTTTCTTGTCTTAACAGAAGTGAAGCAGAGACGAATGAATCACTGTGGGGTTTCATCCCCTTTCTGCTCATAGATGATAGTGTCAAGTGATCACTGGGCCTTGAATGCAAGTCATCTCTATAGAGGGATACTAAAAATAGAATTTTTTGAAGCTAACCTCCCTTTTCCTTTCTTTGCTGCAGAGACGTTGATGGACACACGGGTGGCCACAGCAGAACTGGGCTGGACGGCGTATCCTAACTCTGGGGTAAGTTGTTGCTGTTAAAAAATATATCCATGCTGTGTAAAAATAACAAAAGTATGGGGAAGGGGGACAACTTAAATAATTTAAAGATGAATCATTTTTTGTTCAGGATCTGAGAATTTGATAGTGTAATATGTAACATGACTCCACTGGCAGACAGACAAACAAGGAGGAAAGTAGGTAGGTTGGGGAGTATGAACTTAAGTAGTTCCCAATGTAGCTCYCATTAAGGGTATTATTTTCTCTGTGTCCCAGTTCATAATGACTTAATAATATAATGGGACTAAGGAAGCCACGTAACATGGTACCTAAGTCCCTGTTAATGGAAGCTGGGGGATACCAGAGCCATAATGATACTGTAATGATACATTTATGCAGTGAAGTGGAGGTATTAGGATAAAACATCAGAGGAGGAGCTTGAGGGTTGGAAATGCTTAAAGGTTTTAAGCTTTAAATGGAATCGTTTTCAACTTCAAGTGTTTTTATTCACATAAAAGGAGTAAAAACGAAAGTGCAAACAAATTGGAATTTAAACGGTATCTTTTTTGTTTTATTTATTTAATAGTAAAACACACCATCAAAAGAATTGCTGCCATATTACGCTAATGGACCTAAGGAGAGTTTTAAGACCTTGTTATTTGCAATGTAATTCAATAACCCAATGAAAAGCTCAATAGCCCAGCATTAATATAAATTGCAGGAGCTGTCCAGGATAGACAATGACTGTTTCTTGCATTTTCTGGGTCTTTGGCTCTTTATGAGGCATTTTATACTTGTGTAAAGGGATCTTTTATTGGTGCTGAAACAAATGAACAGAGTGTTGACTCTGTTTTAAAGATCGAAGAGTGTGGCAGCCTTCATTTTTTAGCATTATTTGCTTTCCTCAAAGGGTACGAACTGAAACAACCTGACAGTTGAAATAACACTATGTAAACAGTGAGTGTGTCAATGTGGGCAGTCACCTCTGCAGAATCTCACAGCTTGAATCTTGCATAGTGTCGGCTGTTATTCTTTGTGTAAATAAGCATGCTTAAATAATCAAGACTGACAGGAAAAAAATGCTAATCCTGATGTATATGTAGGGCATAATCGTTACAATTTATTGATTCATTTATTGCTAAATGTTTGCAAAGTCTGGTGCTTAGAGACATTGTTAGGAGAATGAAATATTAAGAATTAACACCAGCCCTGAAATGATTTAGATTTATACACAACTGTTGCATAACGTTCAGGTTATTTAAAAGTAAAACTAATAAAAATGTACTGTGATGCTTATTCGCCCTGGTGATCTTTTACAATGTGACTTAAAGACAAAATAAAGGCAATCTGCGTTTTTATTTCCATTTGATGTCATTTTCTTTGTTGACAGCTGAAATAAAACACTAAAGAATGACTTAGAATCTTGAGATTGATTACAGATATAAACTTTATGCTGCTGACATTTTGCGGATGTGGTGAAATTGATCATTTTTATGTCTTTCAGTTTTTGTTTCTATTGTAAAACCGGTTCCTTCTAAACTGTGAGAAACTGTTTTTTTTTCTCACAGAGCTTGTGTCCTCCCAATCTGATATCTTCCTTAATCAAATGCTTAGATCTTGTGTTGTCCCATTTGTCTGTTAGACCTCTCACCTTTTCATACTCCATGCAAATCTGTTCATAAAAAAATTATGCTTTAATAAAGCCAAATAA